GGAGAAAAAGTCCATGGGTCAAGAATATCCTGGTGACTCCACAAAGAGGATTGTATGGAACTGGGAAAAAAACAAAGCACCTAAGTAAAACTGCAAACATGTGGCAAAAGGTGTTGCGGTCAGACACCATAGAATTAGAACTTCATTAATTAGAATCAACCAGTCATCTCCATTCTTCTGTCAATCATGTTATTATGTTATAATTATGCTTCCCATCAATAGGAACATATTGTAGATGGAGCAAAGAACTAGCAAAGTTTAGAGGAAAATCAAAACTGTAAAAATAAACTGTTGCAGCTGTAAATGCTGCCAAAGGTACATCCATCAAATATTGAGTTCACAGCCTTAAATACTTATGCCAATTTGTTCCCTACATGTTTTGCTTATATTTACCTTAATTTACCTTAGGAGATCTTCAATTTGAGCATTCTGATTTTGACTAAAATATTTAAACTGAATAAAATGTATGTGCATCATTTATAATTTTACAAAATGGGACACCTTGGAAATTCACATATATACGTGCAATTAACTGTATAATACAGAAAAAGAAAAAAAGAAAGGTTTGATCATTATCTGCTTCAGAAGAGTTGCAATTTTCAGTTCAAGGAAATGCCTTCTGTTCCCCAGTTGTTTTCCACACAATTTTAAGATCATGCCTGGATGAAAGGCAATATAAGCATTGCCATCTGTATACCTCAAATAAACAGTTGGATTGCAAAAACAAATTTGTTAGCTTTTGTCTTTCAAATAAACATTACCAAGCGCTGTGGCTTTAGATGCACAGTATGTTGATGGCAAAAAACAATTCAGAAATAGATGGATTTAGTTTGATTCATTCAATCGAAGCACCATTTACTGCGCTGTCCTTGACTGTGACACAGTGATTTCCCTGGTTGAACTTTCACAGCAAAATGATTTTCAAATGAGCAGTGAGGATTTGGGATTGATTTGCTGTGCTGTGTGTTCTGAGAGAGAGAGCAGATCCCATCCAAAAGCTCATGTGACAGGCAGTGGCTGCCTGCCTGCCTGAATGTGGGAGCTTTTACGGGAGCCAAGGATTATCCTGCCTCCCATCTGCCACTGGCTGTGGCACCCTGGCAACCCGGAATGGAAACAAGAGGGTGAAGGACCATGCCCGATTAATAGAAGTGCGAAACATTTCCCTGCAGTTTCCTCGACCCAAATCCCCTCCGCTCAGATTTCGGGCCGTTACGGACGTTTTCCTAAACAGGTCTCAGATTCCAGAACGATCACCAGTGCCAGACAGTAGACACAGAAAGAACCGCATGTACAGTACCATGTGCAGAACGTGACAGGGCAATGCCATTTGTGAGAGTGAGGAAAACAATGTTGAGTTTAAATTCAAATTTCAAATAACATTTTAAGGCTTTTAGTTTTTTATTTTTAAAAACAAGGATTTTGTGGAACACATTTAAACATACACACACCCATCGAATAATGTAATGCTGTCTCTTGGGGCAACGGTAACGGACAGCAGGACAGTGACTATGCGCCACCCAGAATGCTGGGGAGATGCAATTAGCATGTAAGGTAATGGAGGTGGGGTTCAGGGTACCAGCACCTGCGTGCATGAACTGTCAGTATCTATTATTTCAAAAATACTCTTCATGTCTGATCCTGTTCTTACTGTATGTGCATTACCTGTGTTTCACTGTATATCCTCACTTTTGTTTTGAGGGTTATCCCCTGTTCAGTATCTGTATCTTGCTTTGTCTGTGAATTGCCTTTAGATAGCACCAAGCAGATACAACTAACCTTCCAGAATACTTGAATCAAGTAACAAGCATTTAATGTATTGTGCAATACGCTTTACTAAAAAAAAATCATACGTTGAAATTGCTATGAAATTGATGTTATCAGATTGGGTGGTCTCCATTATAAAAAGGCCCAAGATCTCAAAACAGAGATAATATGCATTCACAGGGGGTAATGTACAGTAACTGGTCGTCTAAACTAAGGATAGAATACATCATGCAATGATACTGAAAATTAGTGGCAGTGATTAAT